GATCCCCATGGAATCCCCCAGCCCCCCTCATCTCCCCCTCGCCCGCCCCCGCACCTGGGGGAGGGAGGGGTCAGCCCCAGCCCCCCATGGAATCCCCCAGCCCCCCTCACCTCCACCTCGCCTGCCCCCGTGCCTGGGGGAGGGAGGGGTCAGCCCCAGCCCGGCCCCCCTTGGCACCCCCCACTCACCGGCCGTGAAGACCTCGAAGGATGTGACCTTGTTGGCGATGTTGCCCGTGGGCTCCAGGCCGGGCCCCTGGGCCGTCACCCGCCCGGCGTCGCCCAGCGATTTCCCCACCGTCACCTCGAACGGACTCTTGGCAATGTGCTGCCCCGCGAACAGCACCGTCACCTGGGGGCAGTGGGGTTACAGCGGGAGCCGGACGGGGGGGGCTGCGAGCCAGGACTCCTGGGATCTCCCCCCGGGACTGGGAGGAGAGTGGTGCTGGTGGGGTAGAGCAGGGGGGGCCGGGAGCCAGGACTCCTGGGTTCTCCCCCCGGGACAGGGAGGGGAGCGGGGCTGGTGGGGTAGAGCGGGGGGGCCGGGAGCCAGGACTCCTGGGTTCTCTCCCTAGGACTGAGAGGGCTGGTGACTAGGTGGGGGGGGGGGGGGGGACAGGGGAGTCTCACCTTGTGGACCCCCGTTACTTTGGGAATGTACGAGACGGAGAAAGTTCGGTTCTTGTCGTTGTTCGCGATGACCTTGGCCTATGGGGAGAAACAGCATTAGATTGAGAGCCCCCCCACCAGCACCCCTCACTCCTGACCCGCAGCCCCTGCCAGCCCAGCCCTGCCCCCCCCCACTCTGACGGTGCCCCTCACTCCCGACCCCCAGCCCCATAACCCCCCAGTCCCATAACCCCCCAGCTCTGACGGTGCCCCTCACTCCCGACCCGCAGCCCCTGCTAGCCCGGCCCTGGGCTCCCACCTCTTCTCTGTGCCCAGCTGGGTCCTCCACGTAGACCAGGACGTCGCCCTGGCCGGCGCTGATGGTCTCCACGGTGAACTCGGCCTTTCTCTTCACCATGTTCCCAGTGGGCTCAATACCTGGGGGCGGAGTCAGCCCGGGAGGGGGCGGAGTCAGCCCAGGAGGGGGCGGAGTCAGCCCCCCACCCCGGCACACAGAGAGGCTGCAGTGGGGCACCCCGAGAAGGGGCAATGATGATAACAGTCATGGGGGGGGACTCTGCCCATGGGGTGAGGAGGGGCAAGGGGGCTGGAGA